GGGCTCTGAAATCAATCAGACCTGGCTTAAATTCCACCTCCACCACTTAATAGCTCTGAGATTTGGGGAGAGATTTATTTTTAACTAATCTGAGCTTGATTTCTTCCCATACAGAATGGGAACTATCAATCTCTGCCTCATTTGATTGGGTCAAGGATTCATGAGCCTCGTGATAAACGATCTGCCCCTGAGTGGCCTCTTCACAGGGCTGGGGAAGTTGCCATTCTATGATCTAAGATTCATTTTAGCCAGTAGTGCTCTCCATTTAAAAAATCATATAGCAATAGTATACATTTGAAAAGATTGTGTCATCTTGTTTAAAAACAAACTGGTGAGAACAAGAGACGAAATTCAAAAGTTCAAGTATTTGCTGGTAACTTAATGCAAGGATGCATCAGGTTGAACAGAATGTACAAAAGTGTAAAATAGGAAGTGAGTCCAAAAAAGGAAGGAGACCCAGGCAGAAGTTTCTGGCCTGATGTTACTTAGTTGGAAGAAGATAGGATCCTCCTTTGCATTCTTGCACCATCTCTTTTTAATGCTGAGAACGTTCTCAGTAGTACCTACATGTCTGCCTAGCAAAACTTGTTCATTACCCCCAAAACTCTGCCCAGCCCTACAGGACAAAGGACGAAAAGGGCAAGCGAGGAGCGTTGGGGCGTGTGTGGGGAGACCAGAGGACTCCCAAGCCCGTGGTCACTCACCCGCCACACAGTTCTTCTGGGCACTCACTGGCCAGTTCTCCCTACTTAACACAGCAGGCTGAGTCAGTGGTCGACCTCAGTGATTTCAGAGCTGGTGCAAGCCGCTCAGAGCAGCTGGTAGGTGAGGGGCAACTCATCCCAGTGATTTCAGCTTCCGGGTTTTCATTCCCTTGAGTTATGGCCAAACACATGGCCTCCTGGTCTGGCTCTTAGAGTATTTTTCAGGAAACGCGCACACCCATAACTAACTAATCAGATCGAGTAGGATGGGCTTACCCCATAGAAGACAATCGAGTTCTGCTGTCACCATGAGCACGTGTCAGGGGATCTTCTTTATTCATGAAGAGCTATACTGTGGACTTGGTGACCCTGTAGCCCAGAAAGCTCCTTTCTAGTCAAAGCTTTGGTTTCTCCTTTTGTTAGTGGGGTGGAGCAGAACCGAGTGGACACTAAGGCTCTTCAGGGTGAATCTCAACACTCTCAGATGCTGCGAGAACTCGGGCTGAGCCACAGATGTCTTGAGCTGCCTAGACTCAGAATTTGTTTTGCATGGGCACCCAGAGCTTCCCCATGTGCATGGTTTCATTGTACCTTCCTCTCTTCCTCCTCCTCTGCCTCCGCACGGCCACCCCAACAGTAGCAGCACCAGCAGGCACAGGCCTTCACTTCTGGAGGGCCAGGTGCTGGCTGGTGTGCTGTACGTGCTACCTGTTCAGTCCTCACACCTGTCCATGATGACTCTCATTTGGGACATGAAGAAATGGAGATGCTGTGAGGCCCAGAGACCAGCCCAGTAACATGGAGCTTGGAAGAGGAGGGGCCTCTTTGGCCGAGCAGTGACTGTGCGCTAGGCTACCCTGTTTTCCTCCTTCACAGTCACCTACCACCTCCACCACTAGTGACTTCATAACGTTCTTATTATTAATTCACTTTAGGGATTGGCAGGTGGCATGGTGGTTAAGAGCACTGGACTCCCACATGACCAACCATGATTTGAGTCCTGGACCCGGCAGCTGGGTTTCTCACTTTCTCTCTCTCTCTCTCTCTCTTTCTCTTTCTCTTTCTCTCACTCTATCCCTCTCTGGTCAAATTAAAATAAATACATAAATAAAAAAATATTAATTCACTCTAGAAGATAGATTAAGTACACAAGACTGAACTGGTAAAATAGCATTTTATGACTTTTGACTAAAACATTGCTGATTTTCTTCTCGGCTTTGTTTTCTGATTTTAAGAATTTTTGTCTTGTCTTGAGCTGTTGATAGGTTCATTATCTACTATTTGAACTGAATCCTAACCTGTTTCCTGGCTTTAAGTTTTAAGCAATGTTCCTTAGCATTTCTATGATTTATTAAAGTTAAAACTACTTTTCTTGAGATTAAAAAAATATGTTAGAAATATTAATTCACTTAAAAAAAAATCTAACCCTATTCTAAGCGATGTGAAACCATGGATTTGATGGACTAGTTCTATTTTTGTGACATGGACTCAACATGCAATGATCTATAGACAGACTAGTCATTTTACACTTGAGACCTCCTGCACCAACAGTGGCCGGGGTGAGTAAGACCTAATGTGAAGCAGGATCTAGTCCAAGAGCTTACACAGGTTCCTCATTGGTGAGACCACTCCCAAGAGCTCTCGAGTCTGTGTTATTGAATCTGATGGCCAGACACGCTCCCCTCACTCCAGAGAGAGCCTGCTCTCTCTCAGAACGTACAGGCTCCTGGAAGCCTGTCCTCTCCAGGCATATATGTTTTATTTTTGTTGTTTTTTAATTGCCAGAAGGTACGTGTACTCATGAGAGAGAGACAGAGAGATGGAAAGACAGAGAGAGAGAGAAGAGAGAGAATTCACCCCTCAACAGGGTCTGGTCATGCTGCGATCCCTTCTCCATTTCTCCATCCTGTTGGGATTTAGTGCATGTGTGCACATGTGTCTAGCATGTTTGTCAAGCTGCCAGGGCTGAGATTCAAACTGTGCTAGGCCATGTGGGATCCGACTCCCTGAACCTCCAGGCTATGAGGCCAGCCTGCCAGGCACATAATGTGACAGTGAGAAGAGGGACTCTAGATCCAAGCCTTAAATCCAAGCCGTCTCTTTCCAAACTGTGTGGCTGGAACAAGTAATTTAACTTGTTCGAGCCTCAGTTTCCCCTTAAATCCAAGCCGTCTCTTTCCAAACTGTCCAGCTCCAGCTGCAACATGGAGATGAATATCTGGTGGGGCTGATGTGAGAGTTCAGGTGTGTAACCTGAGCGCTCAGGTGTGTAACGCACTCACAGCTGGGCCCGGCACACTCCAGGCACCAAGTAGCTCTGCGAATGTTCCTGTTTACAGAGAAACGTGAGGAATCTGCTCACCGCTCCTCTGGCTCGCAGTGGGTTAGTGCTGGAAGGACCAACAGCTGTCTGTGGTCCACAAGCCGCAGAGAGCTTAAGGCTCACCCGGGGATTGCAGGAGGCACCGCCCCGGCACCTGCTGCCCACCATCTCCAAGTTCTGAGCACGCTGGGGCGGGGCCCGGCAATCTGCACTTTAACTGCCTCCCAGGGGATTCTGACGCAGATGGTGCAAGGACCACTCTGAGAAGCACCAGGAACTGGGTCTAGAGACTTCCCTGCGCCTCTCACCCCTTTTGTCCCCCTGTGCAGCATGTAAATGTGCTGTCTGCTTGGTTATTTCCACTCTTGCACATGCGGAAAGGGATGGATTTGCACACTGCCTCTGTTGGTGAGATCTCACTTCAGGCCAGGGTCCTACGAAGGGAAGAGGCAGAGGGAAAAGATCACAGCAGCTGACCAAGTCTTGGTGGGAGGCGGGAAGCCACTGCACAGCCAGGTTGGAGCTCCCTGGTGCCCTCACCTCTGTGCCACCCGTGCCTAGCACTTGGGATGAAGCGTGTAGAGGCTATAGATAAAATTCACTGTTGGGACCATCTGGAACCAAGTCGTGGGACTGCCACCCCCACCACCTTTGAGCTTGTTGGGCATGGCCATTTGGTTACAGCCAGTGCTGTCAGATAACCCCGAAGAGCAGCCTTGCCTGGTTTTTGCCCCTCGTGTGTTGGGTGGCTCTGTCAGGGAGGGATTGTTCCATCTCCTTCTCACAGCTGAGGTCCTCAGGAGACTGAGTGACTCCTCTCGGGTCACACAGCGTCCAAGGACATCAGCAGGACTTCAGTCAGGTCCTTTGTCTCTGAACCCTGGCCTATTTCACCAAGCCCTGCTGCCTCTGCAGGTTTTGTAACAGTCCCTGGGAGCTGGACTAACCAGGAATATTCTGGAAAGCTCAGTTTAAGAGAAAAAAGATGAACTAAGCCATACTCTGGGGCATTTACAGCCCTGGTGTTATGGGAGAATGATCTCCCCAAGCTCCAAGGACTTATTTTTCTGAGAGTCTACAGGTTGGTCTCCGGCTGGTGTCTGCACAGGGTGGAGGGCTCTGGTGCCTCTAACCCTGCCCCTGGGGCTGGTGCAGAGAAAGCTCTCGCTGTACATTGGCTACAACGGCCGCTGAAGGCCTACTCCTGGGGCTGAGACCCACCAAAGGCGGGAGCAGGTGGCCACCACGGAGCTCGTCTGTCCGGGAAGCCCTACCCTCGCATCCCAGGAACAGTGGAGACAGGACCCTCCCCTGTGGCCTTGCTGTCCCACCACCTCTTCCCTTCTTCCAGGAGGTGTGAGAGGAAAGAGGAAACCCAGTGAGGACTGGTGACAAGGGAAACTGCTCAGGGTGGGGAGTGGAAAAGCACCCTCACTGCTTGATGTGGCTGCCTGGGTCACAGACCGGGTACGACCTGGGGAATTCTCCAAACCAGGCGCGGGAGGGTGGGGAGACCCCTCGACCTCCTTTTTAGAGGTGACCTCCCACCCACATAGTGGAAAAAGAGAAACTTATTTCATGCCAATTTGCATTTTAAAAATAAAGGCAAATGAGCAGGCTCGGAGAGCTGCTGTTTTCATGGGGCCTGCTCAAGCATGCGCCCTCACCCTGGGCAGAGGGGCAACTCAAGGTGGTTCAGTGGCTGGCGCTTCCTGAGCCAGCC